CATGCTGAGTATCATTAATCAAGCTATGCTTATCGAGATGGCTTCTTATAATCTCAGCTATAATTGACTCTAGTAATTTGCCTACAATTGAGGTCAGGCTTATTGGGCGGTAATTTGACGGTAACGACTTGTCCCCTGTTTTAAAAATAGGAGTTACATTAGCCATCTTCCACATATCAGACACTACACCTGTTTGAAGAGATAAATTAAAAATATTAGTTAATGGTTCACAGAGTTCCATTTTGCATTCCTTAAGAACCCTTGAAAAAACCTCATCAGGACCCGGCGACTTATTTTGCTTCAGTCTGTCTATCTGCCTCACAACCATCTCACTAGTGACTGTGATGTTACATAATTTATCTTCTTCTAGCCCACTGTAAAAATTAATTACTGGAATATTGTTAGTGTCTTCCTGTGTAAAAACTGAGAGAAAATAATTATTTAAAATCAAGCACATTTCATTCTCATTGTCAGTAAGGTGCCCATAGTTATTTTTAAGGGGACCTATCTTATCTCTAACTTTTGTTCTATAGACCTGGAAAAAACTTTTTGGGTTAGTTTTAGAATCCCTAGCAACTTTAATTTCATAGTCCCTTTTAGCTTTTCTTATCCCCTTTTTAATGTCCCTCTTAATGTCAATATACTGATTCATAAGATGACCCTCACCTCTTTTGATACGCCTATAAATTCCTTTCTTATGCCCTAGTAGATATTTGAGCCTATTATTCATCCATTTTGGGTCATTTCTATTTGATCTAATTTCTTTATATGGATAAACGCTCTTTGAGCAGCATGTATAGTGTTCAGAAAACTGTCATATTGATAGCTCTCTTCGTTACCCCAGTCAACAGATGATAAGTGTTCTTTAAGCCCATCGTAATCTGCTAAGCGAAAATCTGGGACTGTTACTGAGTTATCGCTACTATCGTACTTCCATTCAATGCTAAATGTAATTGATTTGTGGTCGCTAGCACCCAGTTCCTCTGAAATTTCTAAATTATTAACAAGGGATTCATTGTTTGCCATAACTAAGTCAAGCAGGTTATTTCCCCTTGTAGGTTCTGTCACAAACTGCTTCAAAAAACAATCCTGAAATACTTCTAAGAAGTCGTACGATTCTAAATTCCCAGTCAAGAAATTCCAATCAACATGACTAAAGTTAAAGTCTCCTAGAATTACTACATTATCGTGCCTTGTGGCCTTAACAATTTCCTCCCATAGTAGTTTCCCTTGGTCCCTATCTAAGTTAGGGGGACGGTATATCACTCCTAAAATCAGTTTTTCATGCCCCTCTGAAAATTCTATCCAAACAGACTCTGTATGTGTTACTTCAGACTTAATACCCGTTTTTATGCAACAGTTCAAGCGATCTCGGACGTACAATGCCACCCCACCCCCCCTCCCAATACTTCTATCTTCTTGGAACAATTTAAAACCCTGAATATGACATTCCGCAGGCATGTCCCGACTTTTGAATTAAACCACGTCTCAGTTAAGGCAAATACATCAATGTTACCTACACTAGCAACTAATCTCAACTCGTCCATCTTATTCCTAGCACTACGGCAATTAGCATAATAAACATTGAAAGACTCTCCTTTCTCTTTACCCTTCCTGCTCATTTCTATTTTTCTACTAAACCTATTACCGTCTTTATCACCCAAGGTCCCTGGCTTTTCAATATCTATCTCGTTCTTATTATTACTAGTTCCCCTAGAACTCGTAATATTACTACACTGGGACTTCACTGTTTTCCTGCCAAAACCCATACCACTAACTATTCCTAGTTTAAAGTCCTAACTGCTCCCTCCACTGCAGTTGCCAGTGCTCCCACCCCACACCTAGATAAGTGAACCCCATCCCTAGCATACATGTCATTTCTGCCATAGAAGAGGTCCCAGTTGTCAATGAATGTTACCGCATTTTCCTTACAGTATTTGTCCAGCCAGCAATTGACACCAATTGCCCTGGACAACCATTCACTTCCAACTCCCCTCCTTGGCAAAATACCACATATGAGAGGGTTCCCACCCTTACTTCTAATTATTTCTATTGCTGACCTATACCTGCTAATCAGGTCCTCACTCCTACGTCTGCCAACATCGTTGCCTCCAGCACTGAGACAGATAATAGGATTGCTCCCATTACCTCTCATGATGTCATCCAGACGGCTAACAATATCCTCCATCCCAGCCCCAGGAAAGCAAACTCTCTGTCTCCTACTCCTGTCCTTCAAGCAGAACGCCCTATCCATATACCTAACTTGGCTATCCCCAACAACAACAATATTCTTACCTTCCTTAATGTCTTTCGTCGTGTCGTTCCAGTAGTCAACTCACATTCGTCGGGTAGCACTGAGAATGTATTGGATGTTTCCACAACAGTTTCCACGGAAGTCTCTTTCTTCTTCATCGTTTCTACCTTTCCATTCGTCTTCTTGATCGTCAACTTCTTTCCCTGCTGTCCAGCCACTGACCAGTTTCCCTTCTTGACCTGAGGACTCAAAACAGGAGGACTACTACGAATCTTCTTGTTCTCCTCGGTCAATCGCCGAATTTCCAAATTCGCCAACCTCAATTCTTCCTTAAGCTGTTGGTAAAGTTGCTCGATGGAGGGCATCTTGCTTCAATTCTAGAGAGCGCGCAAACAGGTCTTCACAGAGCCAAGTACACGTCAACACTGCGCAAATGCCAACTCAATCAGGAGCTACTGCGCAGCACGTCCGCACGGCCCAATAGCGATGCTGTTAGGAACCTGACAGGTTGATGTCCTTACCAGGACGCCAGTGTTCCCACAGTTGCTGTTAGGAACCTGACAGGTTGATGTCCTTACCAGGACGCCAGTGTTCCCACAGTTGCTGTTAGGAACCTGACAGGTTGATGTCCTTACCAGGACGCCAGTGTTCCCGCAGTTGCTGTTAGGAACCTGACAGGTTGATGTCCTTACCAGGACGCCAGTGTTCTCACAGTTGCTGTTAGGAACCTGACAGGTTGATGTTCTTACCAGGACGCCAGTGTTCCCACAGTTGCTGTTAGGAACCTGACAGGTTGATGTCCTTACCAGGACGCCAGTGTTCTCACAGTTGCTGTTAGGAACCTGACAGGTTGATGTTCTTACCAGGACGCCAGTGTTCCCACAGTTGCTGTTAGGAACCTGACAGGTTGATGTCCTTACCAGGACGCCAGTGTTCTCACAGTTGCTGTTAGGAACCTGACAGGTTGATCTCCTTACCAGGACGCCAGTGTTCTCACAGTTGCTGTTAGGAACCTGACAGGTTGATGTTCTTACCAGGACGCCAGTGTTCCCACAGTTGCTGTTAGGAACCTGACAGGTTGATGTCCTTACCAGGACGCCAGTGTTCTCACAGTTGCTGTTAGGAACCTGACAGGTTGATGTTCTTACCAGGACGCCAGTGTTCCCACAGTTGCTGTTAGGAACCTGACAGGTTGATGTTCTTACCAGGACGCCAGTGTTCCCACAGTTGCTGTTAGGAACCTGACAGGTTGATGTTTTTACCAGGACGCCAGTGTTCCCACAGTTGCTGTTAGGAACCTGACAGGTTGATGTTCTTACCAGGACGCCAGTGTTCCCACAGTTGCTGTTAGGAACCTGACAGGTTGATGTTCTTACCAGGACGCCAGTGTTCCCACAGTTGCTGTTAGGAACCTGACAGGTTGATGTTCTTACCAGGACGCCAGTGTTCCCACAGTTGCTGTTAGGAACCTGACAGGTTAATGTCCTTACCAGGACGCCAGTGTTCTCACAGTTGCTGTTAGGAACCTGACAGGTTGATGTCCTTACCAGGACGCCAGTGTTCTCACAGTTGCTGTTAGGAACCTGACAGGTTGATGTCCTTACCAGGACGCCAGTGTTCTCACAGTTGCTGTTAGGAACCTGACAGGTTGATGTCCTTACCAGGACGCCAGTGTTCCCACAGTTGCTGTTAGGAACCTGACATGTTGATGTCCTTACCAGGACGCCAGTGTTCCCACAGTTGCTGTTAGGAACCTGACAGGTTGATGTCCTTACCAGGACGCCAATGTTCCCACAGTTGCTGTTAGGAACCTGACAGGTTGATGTCCTTACCAGGACGCCAGTGTTCCCACAGTTGCTATTAGGAACCTGACAGGTTGATGTCCTTACCAGGACGCCAGTTTTCCCACAGTTGCTGTTAGGAACCTGACAGGTTGATGTCCTTACCAGGACGCCAGTGTTCCCACAGTTGCTGTTAGGAACCTGACAGGTTGATGTCCTTACCAGGACGCCAGTGTTCCCACAGTTGCTGTTAGGAACCTGACAGGCTGATGTTCTTACCAGGACGCCAGTGTTCCCACAGTTGCTGTTACGAACCTGACAGGTTGATGTTCTTACCAGGACGCCAGTGTTCCCACAGTTGCTGTTAGGAACCTGACAGGTTGATGTTCTTACCAGGACGCCAGTGTTCCCACAGTTGTGGGTACAGAATAAACCCTATTCTACTCTTTTCGATATTATCATCTATTCTTATCTTAATAATAACATAAGAAAGAAGGAGCACTGCAGCAGGCCTACTAGCCCATGCTAGGCAAGTCCAAGTCATTTACAGGCCGAAGCTAGTTAGATTCAATTCGCACCCACCCACACCCTCTCTCTCTCTCTCTCTCTCTCTCTCTCTCTCTCTCTCTCTCTCTCTCTCTCTCTCTCTCTCTCTCTCTCTCTCTCTCTCTCTCTCTCTCTCTCTCTCTCTCTCTCTCTCTCACGTCACAGCTGTCATGATTGGGTTAAACGAAGAAAAAGAACACAAGAGTAAAATACGATTCAAAATGGTAATAGGAGGCCATTAGGCTTGATCCAAGGGTGGGTAAGGCAGCTCTGGTTCCCTGGATTTAGAACAAAATGGTAATAGGAGGCCATCAGGCTTGATCCAAGGGTGGGTAAGGCAGCTCTGGTTCCCTGGATCTAGAACCCATGGTAAGGAACATGAACAGAAGGGAGGAATGGAAAAAAAAATATTAACTCACCTTTTCCGGAAATCCATTTCTTCACGGTCCGTGCTGCATGAAATGATACTGCTCGAATTATGATGGTGGCTTAGTAACCCAGGGGGATGATTATGTGGCTTAGTAACCCAGGGGGATGAGTATGTGGCTTAGTAACCCAGGGGGATGAGTATGTGGCTTAGTAACCCAGGGGGATGAGTATGTGGCTTAGTAACCCAGGGGAATGAGTATGTGGCTTAGTAACCCAGGGGGATGAGTATGTGGCTTAGTAACCCAGGGGGATGATTATGTGGCTTAGTAACCCAGAGGGATGAGTATGTGGCTTAGTAACCCAGGGGGATGAGTATGTGGCTTAGTAACCCAGGGGGATGAGTATGTGGCTTAGTAACCCAGGGGAATGAGTATGTGGCTTAGTAACCCAGGGGGATGAGTATGTGGCTTAGTAACCCAGGGGGATGATTATGTGGCTTAGTAACCCAGAGGGATGAGTATGTGGCTTAGTAACCCAGGGGATGATTATGTGGCTTAGTAACCCAGGGGGATGAGTATGTGGCTTAGTAACCCAGGGGGATGAGTATGTGGCTTAGTAACCCAGGGGGATGAGTATGTGGCTTAGTAACCCAGGGGATGAGTATGTGGCTTAGTAACCCAGGGGATGAGTATGTGGCTTAGTAACCCAGGGGGATGAGTATGTGGCTTAGTAACCCAGGGGGATGAGTATGTGGCTTAGTAACCCAGGGGAATGAGTATGTGGCTTAGTAACCCAGGGGGATGAGTATGTGGCTTAGTAACCCAGGGGATGATTATGTGGCTTAGTAACCCAGAGGGATGAGTATGTGGCTTAGTAACCCAGGGGGATGATTATGTGGCTTAGTAACCCAGGGAGATGAGTATGTGGCTTAGTAACCCAGGGGGATGATTATGTGGCTTAGTAACCCAGGGGGATGAGTATGTGGCTTAGTAACCCAGGGGGATGAGTATGTGGCTTAGTAACCCAGGGGGATGAGTATGTGGCTTAGTAACCCAGGGGGATGATTATGTGGCTTAGTAACCCAGAGGGATGAGTATGTGGCTTAGTAACCCAGGGGGATGATTATGTGGCTTAGTAACCCAGGGAGATGAGTATGTGGCTTAGTAACCCAGGGGGATGATTATGTGGCTTAGTAACCCAGGGGGATGAGTATGTGGCTTAGTAACCCAGGGGGATGAGTATGTGGCTTAGTAACCCAGGGGGATGAGTATGTGGCTTAGTAACCCAGGGGGATGATTATGTGGCTTAGTAACCCAGGGGGATGAGTATGTGGCTTAGTAACCCAGGGGGATGAGTATGTGGCTTAGTAACCCAGGGGGATGAGTATGTGGCTTAGTAACCCAGGGGATGAGTATGTGGCTTAGTAACCCAGGGGGATGAGTATGTGGCTTAGTAACCCAGGGGGATGAGTATGTGGCTTAGTAACCCAGGGGGATGAGTATGTGGCTTAGTAACCCAGAGGGATGAGTATGTGGCTTAGTAACCCAGGGGGATGAGTATGTGGCTTAGTAACCCAGGGGGATGAGTATGTGGCTTAGTAACCCAGGGGGATGAGTATGTGGCTTAGTAACCCAGGGGGATGAGTATGTGGCTTAGTAACCCAGAGGGATGAGTATGTGGCTTAGTAACCCAGGGGGATGATTATGTGGCTTAGTAACCCAGGGGGATGAGTATGTGGCTTAGTAACCCAGGGGATGAGTATGTGGCTTAGTAACCCAGGGGGATGAGTATGTGGCTTAGTAACCCAGAGGGATGAGTATGTGGCTTAGTAACCCAGGGGGATGATTATGTGGCTTAGTAACCCAGGGGGATGAGTATGTGGCTTAGTAACCCAGGGGGATGATTATGTGGCTTAGTAACCCAGGGGGATGAGTATGTGGCTTAGTAACCCAGGGGGATGAGTATGTGGCTTAGTAACCCAGGGGGATGAGTATGTGGCTTAGTAACCCAGGGGGATGAGTATGTGGCTTAGTAACCCAGGGGGATGAGTATGTGGCTTAGTAACCCAGAGGGATGAGTATGTGGCTTAGTAACCAGGGGGATGATTATGTGGCTTAGTAACCCAGGGGGATGAGTATGTGGCTTAGTAACCCAGGGGATGAGTATGTGGCTTAGTAACCCAGGGGGATGAGTATGTGGCTTAGTAACCCAGGGGGATGAGTATGTGGCTTAGTAACCCAGGGGTATGAGTATGTGGCTTAGTAACCCAGGGGGATGAGTATGTGGCTTAGTAACCCAGGGGGATTATTATGTGGCTTAGTAACCCAGGGGGATGATTATGTGGCTTAGTAACCCAGGGGATGATTATGTGGCTTAGTAACCCAGGGGGATGATTATGTGGCTTAGTAACCCAGGGGGATGATTATGTGGCTTAGTAACCCAGGGGGATGATTATGTGGCTTAGTAACCCAGGGGGATGAGTATGTGACTTAGTAACCCAGGGGGATGATTATGTGGCTTAGTAACCCAGGGGGATGACTATGTGACTTAGTAACCCAGGGGGATGAGTAAGTGGCTTAATAACCCAGGGGGATGAGTATGTGGCTTAGTAACCCAGGGGGATGAGTATGTGGCTTAGTAACCCAGGGGGATGAGTATGTGGCTTAGTAAACCAGGGGGATGATTATGTGGCTTAGTAACCCAGGGGGATGATTATGTGGCTTAGTAACCAAGAGAGATGAGTATGTGGCTTATTAACCCAGGGGGATGAGTATGTGGCTTAGTAACCCAGGGGGATGAGTATGTGGCTTAGTAACCCAGGGGATGATTATGTGGCTTAGTAACCCAGGGGGATGATTATGTGGCTTAGTAACCCAGGGGGATGAGTATGTGACTTAGTAACCCAGGGGGATGATTATGTGGCTTAGTAACCCAGGGGGATGACTATGTGACTTAGTAACCCAGGGGGATGAGTAAGTGGCTTAATAACCCAGGGGGATGAGTATGTGGCTTAGTAACCCAGGGGGATGAGTATGTGGCTTAGTAACCCAGGGGGATGAGTATGTGGCTTAGTAACCCAGGGGGATGATTATGTGGCTTAGTAACCCAGGGGGATGAGTATGTGGCTTAGTAACCCAGAGATATGAGTATGTGGCTTATTAACCCAGGGGGATGAGTATGTGGCTTAGTAACCCAGGGGGATGAGTATGTGGCTTAGTAACCCAGGGGGATGATTATGTGGCTTAGTAACCCAGGGGGATGATTATGTGGCTTAGTAACCCAGGGGGATGAGTATGTGACTTAGTAACCCAGGGGGATGATTATGTGGCTTAGTAACCCAGGGGGATGACTATGTGACTTAGTAACCCAGGGGGATGAGTAAGTGGCTTAATAACCCAGGGGGATGAGTATGTGGCTTAGTAACCCAGGGGGATGAGTATGTGGCTTAGTAACCCAGGGGGATGAGTATGTGGCTTAGTAATCAAGGGGGATGATTATGTGGCTTAGTAACCCAGGGGGATGAGTATGTGGCTTAATAACCCAGGGGGATGATTATGTGGCTTAGTAACCCAGGGGGATGATTATGTGGCTTAGTAACCCAGGGAGATGAGTATGTGGCTTAGTAACCCAGGGAGATGATTATGTGGCTTAGTAACCCAGGGGGATGATTATGTGGCCTAGTAACCCAGGGGGATGACTGTGACTTAGTAACCCAGGGGGATGAGTAAGTGGCTTAATAACCCAGGGGGATGATTATGTGGCTTAGTAACCCTGGGGATGATTATGTGGCTTAGTAACCCAGGGAGATGAGTATGTGGCTTAGTAACCCAGGGGGATGATTATGTGGCTTAGTAACCCAGGGGGATGAGTATGTGGCTTAGTAACCCAGGGGGGTGATTATGTGGCTTAGTAACCCAGGGGGATGAGTATGTGGCTTAGCAACCCAATGGGATGAGCATGTGGCTTAGTAACCCAGGGGGATGAGTATGTGGCTTAGTAACCCAGGGAGTTGCTTATGTGGCTTAGTAACCCAGGGGATGATTATGTGGCTTAGTAACCCAGGGGGATGATTATGTGGCTTAGTAACCCAGGGGGATGATTATGTGGCTTAGTAACCCAGGGGGATGATTATGTGACTTAGTAACCCATGGGGATGATTATGTGGCTTAGTAACCCAGGGGGATGAGCATGTGGCTTAGTAACCCAGGGGGATGAGTATGTGGCTTGGTAACCCAGGGAGATGCTTATGTGGCTTAGTAACCCAGGGGGATGATTATGTGGCTTAGTAACCCAGGGGGATGATTATGTGGCTTAGTAACCCAGGGGAATTATTATGTGGCTTAGTAACCTAGGGAATGACTATGTGGCTTAGTAACCCAGGGGAATGATTATGTGGCCTAGTAACCCAGGGGAATGATTATGTGGCTTAGTAACCCAGGGGGATGAGTATGTGGCTTAGTAACCCAGGGGGATGAGTATGTGGCTTAGTAACCCAGGGGGATGATTATGTGGCCTAGTAACCCAGGGGAATGATTATGTGGCTTAGTAACCCAGGGGGATGAGTATGTGGCTTAGTAGCCCAGGGGGATGAGTGTGTGACTTAGTAACCCAGGGGGATGAGTATGTGGCTTAGTAACCCAAGGGGATGAGTATGTGGTTTAGTAACCCAGGGGGATGAGTATGTGGCTTAGTAACCCAGGGGGATGAGTATGTGGCTTAGTAGCCCAGGGGGATGAGTGTGTGACTTAGTAACCCAGGGGGATGAGTATGTGGCTTAGTAACCCAAGGGGATGAGTATGTGGTTTAGTAACCCAGGGGGATGAGTATGTGGCTTAGTAGCCCAGGGGGATGAGTGTGTGACTTAGTAACCCAGGGGGATGAGTATGTGGCTTAGTAACCCAAGGGGATGAGTATGTGGTTTAGTAACCCAGGGGGATGAGTATGTGGCTTAGTAACCCATGGAGATGCTTATGTGGCTTAGTAACCCAGGGGAATGATTATGTGGCTTAGTAACCCAGGGGAATGATTATGTGGCTTAGTAACCCAGGGAAATGATTATGTGGCTTAGTAACCCAGGGGAATGATTATGTGGCTTAGTAACCCAGGGGGATGATTATGTGGCTTAGTAACCCAGGGGGATGAGTATGTGGCTTAGTAACCCAGGGGGGTGATTATGTGGCTTAGTAACCCAGGGGGATGAGTATGTGGCTTAGCAACCCAATGGGATGAGCATGTGGCTTAGTAACCCAGGGGGATGAGTATGTGGCTTAGTAACCCAGGGAGATGCTTATGTGGCTTAGTAACCCAGGGGGATGATTATGTGGCTTAGTAACCCAGGGGGATGATTATGTGGCTTAGTAACCCAGGGGGATGATTATGTGGCTTAGTAACCCAGGGGGATGATTATGTGACTTAGTAACCCATGGGGATGATTATGTGGCTTAGTAACCCAGGGGGATGAGCATGTGGCTTAGTAACCCAGGGGGATGAGTATGTGGCTTGGTAACCCAGGGAGATGCTTATGTGGCTTAGTAACCCAGGGGGATGATTATGTGGCTTAGTAACCCAGGGGGATGATTATGTGGCTTAGTAACCCAGGGGAATGATTATGTGGCTTAGTAACCTAGGGAATGACTATGTGGCTTAGTAACCCAGGGGAATGATTATGTGGCCTAGTAACCCAGGGGAATGATTATGTGGCTTAGTAACCCAGGGGGATGAGTATGTGGCTTAGTAACCCAGGGGGATGAGTATGTGGCTTAGTAACCCAGGGGGATGATTATGTGGCCTAGTAACCCAGGGGAATGATTATGTGGCTTAGTAACCCAGGGGGATGAGTATGTGGCTTAGTAGCCCAGGGGGATGAGTGTGTGACTTAGTAACCCAGGGGGATGAGTATGTGGCTTAGTAACCCAAGGGGATGAGTATGTGGTTTAGTAACCCAGGGGGATGAGTATGTGGCTTAGTAACCCAGGGGATGAGTATGTGGCTTAGTAGCCAGGGGGATGAGTGTGTGACTTAGTAACCCAGGGGGATGAGTATGTGGCTTAGTAACCCAAGGGGATGAGTATGTGGTTTAGTAACCCAGGGGGATGAGTATGTGGCTTAGTAGCCCAGGGGGATGAGTGTGTGACTTAGTAACCCAGGGGGATGAGTATGTGGCTTAGTAACCCAAGGGGATGAGTATGTGGTTTAGTAACCCAGGGGGATGAGTATGTGGCTTAGTAACCCATGGAGATGCTTATGTGGCTTAGTAACCCAGGGGAATGATTATGTGGCTTAGTAACCCAGGGGAATGATTATGTGGCTTAGTAACCCAGGGAAATGATTATGTGGCTTAGTAACCCAGGGGAATGATTATGTGGCTTAGTAACCCAGGGGGATGATTATGTGGCTTAGTAACCCAGGAGAATGACTATGTGGCTTAATAACCCAGGGGAATCACTTATTTGTATCATATTATAGACATCTACAGGTTTATGTATACATATACACTCTAGAATACACATAAACACTAACATTAACAGATTTATAGCAACAGTTTTAAGGTTTTTATAGAATTTTCCAGCATTTTGAAAAATAGTCTTTGTCTGTCTTGTCCAGCACTGTATAATGTATAGTGTGGTCATCATGTTACCACTGGTTCACCTGTCATTACTGGTTCACCTGTCATTACTGGTTCACCTGTCATTACTGGTTCACCTGTCATTACTGGTTCCCCTGTCATTACTGGTTCACCTGTCATTACTGGTTCACCTGCCATTACTGGTTCACCTGTCATTACTGGCTCACCTGTCATTACTGGTTCACCTGTCATCCCTGGTCCTCCTGCCATCCCTGGTCCTCCTGTCATCCCTGGTCCTGCCATTCCTAGTTTTTCTGTCATCCCTGGTCCTCCTGCCATCCCTGGTCCTCCTGTCATCCCTGGTCCTGCCATTCCTAGTTTTTCTGTCATCCCTGGTCCTCCTGCCATCCCTGGTCCTCCTGTCATCCCTGGTTCTGTCATTCCTGGTTTTTCTGTCATCCCTGGTCCTCCTGTCATCCCTGGTCCTCCAGTCATCTCTGGTCCTCCTGCCATCCCTGGTCCTCCTACCATCCCTGGTCCTCCTGCCATCCCTGGTCCTCCTGCCATCCCTGGTCCTCCTGCCATCCCTGGTCCTCCTGCCATCCCTGGTCCTCCTGCCATCCCTGGTCCTCCTACCATCCCTGGTCCTCCTGCCATCCCTGGTCCTCCTGCCATCCCTGGTCCTCCTGCCATCCCTGGTCCTCCTACCATCCCTGGTCCTCCTGTCATCCCTCATACTTGGGGCCAATGTCTTGTCGCTCCTAGCAATCGCCAGACAAGACTGGTCTCAGACCGAGCTGTGCGTGTGTGTATTTGTGTATATATGTAGGGAGACCGGCTAGGGAAGGATAGCCCTCGAAACCTGTCACAGGTAATAAACGGGTGCGCTAATTGCTCTGTCCTGTACAATATGAGAACACAAGGAAGTGAGCCGCAGTGACGCTTCTGGCCAGTTTGTTCAGTGTCCGGAAACAAGTCACGGTAAACAAAACAGTCACAGAAAATAAGTCACAGTTTTGGCTAGAGAAAAAAGTCACATATTTAAATACCATACACAAATAAAGTTAGGTGAAGTTAGATTATGTCTGTATTGTTATTTTTTCTCCTTCGACTTTTTTTCTGCGACCTTTTTTTCTCCCAGGATCCGCTTGTTCCATACTTCCACAATTCTTGTCCCACTAAAACTTTCCCACAGTATTTCTGAAGCTCAATTTGTCTAACTTGAATGTTGTTTTTCCTAGTCTTGTCTCGGTTTGATAGTTTTCAGTACGTTGCTTACGTCACCTTCATAAGAACGTAGGAAAGAAAGAGAACTGCAGCAGACCTACTGGCCCATGCTAGGCAGATCTATCTCAGCATTTGTGCACCCGTGTCAATGGAATTTCAGAGATTAGGATGGCAAACTTTTCTGTATTTTTATTCTGGAAACGTTTCGCCCAAGAGTGGCTTCTTCAGTCCAAAACTCCTCCTCTTCCACAGTTCGGACTGCAGGGGTGCAGTGAACACAATAAGGGAACACTGTATCAACATTCGTGGTCCCAGAAAATATCAGAAACACTGCTGGGAGGATTAAGTATCTTCACCGGGTGCCAGATCAGCCAGGCTGTGATGGATATGTGGGTCAGCGGGCCTCCAACAAAAACAGCCTAGTTGACCAGGCAAACACCAGACGAGCCTGACCCATGGCCGGGCTCCGGGAGAAGAGGTAAAGGTAAGCTACTGGAAGACGAAACGTTCCCATAATAAAGATAGCGAAATGTTGCACTGACAATGTCAGTCTTGAATACGACGTCAACCTCCTATATTTTAAGGTCAGGTCACTAAGAGCTCGCCCGGGGGAATCAGACAAGGTCAGGTGAGGTCACCGCGAGAAAGGTCAAGGGAAGACTTACCTGGTTGAGAAGACATCCTCCTTGTCCTGTGTGTGTGGGGTCAGGAAGGAGGGGGCGGTGCGCCCCGTCTCCACCACCACGCCACCATCACCCTCACCACCCACCACCACACTCTGCATCCTGAGACACACACAAATCACTAGGTTAATTTTTTCCATTAAGCTCCAGCTCTTGGGCTCTACATAATAATAATAAATAATAATAATAATAATAATAATAATAATAATAATAATAATAATATTATTATTATTATTATTATTATTATTATTATTATTATTATTATTATTATTATTATTAAAATAACAATAATAATAATAATAATAATAATAATAATAATAATAATAATAATAATAATAATAATAATAATAATAATAACAGCAGCAACAAGAATAACAATAATAATCACTGAATGGCAACGTTATGGATGCACTTAAAAGGCCAAGTTACTACTAGTGATACTAAGGACATTTAAACTGATGCTGCTCATCAGTTTCCTCGGGGAAGAGTACATTTAGGTTTTCTTTTAAATAGAAAATCTCTGAAAAGAGTGGAAGGGAAGGGCATGTTGATGGCGGTGATGGGTTCTTGATCCAAGGTATTGGCGGTACCCTTTCCCCTTTCCTCGGATCAGGGGAGGTAAATCGTTACCTCCCCTCCTCCTTTCTCTGTTTTTCTCTCTCTCTCTCTCTCTCTCTCTCTCTCTCTCTCTCTCTCTCTCTCTCTCTCTCTCTCTCTCTCTCTCTCTCTCTCTCTCTCTCTCTCTCTCTCTCTCTCTCTCTCCTTCATTGGAGGAATTTGTTTACGTCAGCTGGGATATTTGCCGTGTCCTCAGAGGATGTCATTCTCTTGCAAGTTGTATTATTATCTGCAAATAACGATACTGGGCTGTTTTTTGTTGACGATTAAGGCACATGTATCTTTATTGTCGAAACGTTTCGCGTACACAGTAGGCTTCTTCAGTCAAATACAGAGGCAGCAGGTGTAGTACTGAAATGATAATGTAATCAGTCCATCGATATATCGTTCCAAACCACTGAGTTGAACTTTTCTCCAAACTGAGGGACTGACCACCTCAAATATTATTTGTTCTGTATTTGACTGAAGAAGCCTACTGTGTAGATAAAACGTTTTAACAATAAAGATACCCAGCTGTTACACATGTGTCTTAATCATCAACTTGTCGGTATTTTGCACTATTTTCAACATGATTTTTGTACCTGTCTAAACTTGTCTAACTCGACTCCATTACTGCGAGCCTTGACCTGGTCACGCAGTTTTATCAGCATGTTATTTATAATTACTTAATTTCTTTCATTTGTTTAATTTACACTCTTCAGTATTATCTCTCCTCATTCTACGTCTCTCCAGAGAGTGTATATTCAGTTCTCTCAGTGTATCCTAGGAGGAAAGCTTTCTGATACATGGGATCAACGTCTTCATCCTTCCCGGCATATCTTCCAGCGCATGTATGTCCATTCCGTAATACAGAGACCAGAACGGAGCATCATAATCTATATGAGGCCTTACCAGAGATACATCAAGTTGAAGTATACCCTGAAGACTTATGTTGTTGATGCTTCCTGATATAAAAGCCAGAAATAGTTCAAATCTGAACGTTTATTTCTGGTTGTGTGACAATGCGCTGCCGTCCCGCCCTTCTCTAATCTCCACAAATCAATCCACTTGGTGATGCAGGCAAGCAAGAGGGAGGCTAAAGTAGTTACACGCATTTAGTGCATCGTGTCAGGGGTGTAGTGTCTCCCGGAGGTGGCAGGGACTTCCTCCGATGCCTCTATACTAGGGAAGGAAAACTTAGAAGAATCTTAATCTCATGTGAGCGTGTGGGGGAGGAGGGGGGGAGGAAAAAATCAAAGTCAAAATACCATGGCTAGAATAACTTTGTAGTTATATGGTAGAGGTCAGTTCACATTTCGAGGAACCTGGGTTCAATCCTGGGCGACAGCGAGATTTGTTGTGCATGTTGAATAACACATGAACAATGGTTTGGTGATACCGATAAGATGTGGAAAAAGACACTTATTTACAAATCAGGACATTTATTAAAGGAAACTTTTCGCCACGAATGATTTCTTCAGCCTGAAGAAAGCAGTGGAAACGTTCCAGTCTAATAAATGTCCTGAACTATATATAAAAGTTTGTTTCTACAACTCAAAACACCTGAAAGTAAATATTTCCCAGGTGTTGGTCAACTGCTGTAAGTGATGTACTAGGGAAGAGGACCAGAAGTCCTCATTGGAAATAAACTCCAATGCTTGGCTCCCTTTGCTTATCCTGAGTTACTAATGACGTCTCCTTCACAACAACAAACGCACACATTGAGGAAGAGACCTGGACGATGTCTCGGCCGATCCTGGACTAGCGTGAGGAAAGGGGTTGAAAGTCAGGTCAAGACAGTGGAAAGTGAAGAGAGAGCCAAGAGCAGGTCAAGTCATGTATGTTCGAGATCACAGGAATTATTATTATTATAATCAAAAAGAAGCGCTAAGCCACAAGGACTATACAGCAAGATCACAGGAAGAGTCAAGCATAAACAGACACATCGCTCGTGGCTCACACTCACGCCTGCCACTCTACCTAAACTTGAATATTGAGTTTTTTT